TCCAATGACATATAATTTTTATTACAAAAAGTTAACTCATATTCACATGGAGGAAGCCTAAAAGGCCATTAACTTGCTCTAAGCAAGCTTCCAAAGAACTTGGCATTCATGAAAGAGAAAAATAAAAGAACGAAAGGACAGTTGAAGTACTGAGGAAGAAATCATTAAGACACTGTTAAAATAATAATATGAAGTGATATGAAAAAAATAGCAAATAAAGTTTCAAAACATAATAGAGAACTGAAAAGCATAAATATGTCAATATATATTTACATACTGTATATGAACCCCCTAGAACCATAAGAAATGCAAAAAAATCATTTTTAATTATTCTCAAATTTCTCCTTTTAAAAATCAAATTGCCCGCCTATGGGATGTGTGCCCCACATTGGGAACTACTGCCCTACAACCAAGACTACCCAGCAATACTATAATTTAGAATTGAAGGAGAGATAAATAGCCTCCCAGACAAAAAAGAGCTAAAAGAGTTCATCACTACCAAACTAGTATTATAAGAAATGTTAAAGGGCCTTCTTTAAAGAGGAAGAAAGGAAAAATAAAATTTAAAAATGTTAATAATTAAATGGCAGTAACTATATATCTACCAACTATTACTTTAAATATAAATGGATTAAATGCTCCAATCAAAAGACATAAGAAAACAATACCCATATATATGCTACTACTAGAGACCTACTTCTGGTATCAATACACACACAGATTGATTATAAAGAAATGATAAAAGATATTTCATGGAAATGGAAACCAAAAAAGCTGGGGAGCAATACTTACAAAATAGGCTTTAAAATAAAGGCTGAAAGACGAGACAAAAAAGGACCCAGCTATTTCACTTTGAAAAGATATATGCTTCCCTATGTTCATTTCAGCATTGTTTGATAGTCAAGATATGGAAGCAACCTAGGTGTCTATCCATGGACAAATGCATAAAGAACAGGCAATTTGTGTGTACAATGGAATATGATTCAGCCATTAAAGGAAGTGAAATCTTGCCTTTTGCACTAATATAGATGGATCTGGAGATTGTTGTGCTGAGTGGGATTCATTAGATAAAGAAAGAAGTGTCATATGATTTTATATGTGGAATCTAAAAACAAAATAATGAACAGGCAAGGCAGAAGGAGATTCATAGACACTAATAATGGTTGCTGGATGGGAAGGGGTTTAGGGTCCTGGTTAAAAAGGGGAAGGGGATTAAGATATGCAAATAGGCAGTTGTAAAAATAGTAATGAGGATGTACAATATAGCTAATGTGATCAATAATGTATAATAATAAAAACGTAATATGAAAATTGACCCAACGACCATCCAGACATCCTTCCAGACGACCTTTTGGACAAAGCTGGGGCTGCAGCTGCGGGATCGAGGCAGCCACTATGGCTATGAGGGATCAAATCAGCTGCAAGGGAGGGATTGAGGCTACCCACCGTAGCTGTGAAGCCTACTCTTGCATAAATTTTGTGCATCGGGCCTCTAGTAATAACTATGTATGGTGCCAGATAGCTACTAGACTCATAAGGGTGAGTTATTTGTCTAATCATTTATGTGTACAACTGATACTAATGAAATATTGTATGGCAGCTGTAATTGAAAAATAAAAGCTATTTTAAAATAACATTAGGTACATACAGTAAAAATAATACACATCTAAACTTTAGATCAAAGACAATTATTTTTGCTAACATTTTCTGTTTCCTTTGTTTCTCCTCTTTTTTCTAAAATGCTGTTTTATTTAATTTAGGAAATAATTTATACTTTGTCATATATAGTTCCAAATTGCATTGTTATAGATCTCTTCAATGTGAAATTTGTGTATGGTTATTTGAATAGATTGAAAAATGTTTGGCTGAAACTAATCTCTAAGAAACACTTTCTCTACTCATTTAAATTTTTAAAAATATATTTTATTGATTTTTTACAGAGAGGAAGGGAAAAGGATGGAGAGCTAGAAACATCAATGAGAGAGATACATCTATCAGCTGCCTCCTACAAACTCATTATTGGGTATGTGCCTGCAACCAAGGTACATGCCCTTGACCAGAAGTGAATCCGGGACTCTTGAGTCTGCAGGCTGACACTATCCACTGAGCCAAACCAGTCAGGTCCATTTAAGTTATTTATGAAAGATTGCTGTGTATATCTTAGTCATAAAGAAAGGAAATCTTATGTTATTTATAGCCTATTTAAATGATAGTGAGAAAGAAAGAATATTTTCTTTGTTTTATAATAAGATTCAGCCGAAACCGGTAGGAGATGAGGTAATATAATTCTGTGGTCCATTGTAAGGCATTATGTTGCAACACTTAAGTCTTTTTTTTTTTTTAATTTAATGATCTTTAAAAAAATCTTAATGAAGCAATGTATCATAAAATGATCCTGGATTTTATTACTCTTCTCTGGTACTCCCAGGGGTGGGGAGGAATATATGTGTGTGTATGTGTGTATGTGTGTGTATATATATATATATATATATATATATATATATATATATATATAATCTATGAAGAAACCTCTGGCTCAGAAAAGGGGGCATTTTGTTTGTTTTTATCTATGTGTATTTATTCATTTAGCAATTTTTTTTGAGTACCCACATGTGTCAGGACATTTACGTTTAGGATTCTTATCCTTGAAGAGCTCTCCCAAAGTGAGGGGAAGATAGTTAATAGGCATACTAAGTTAACTATATCCAATGATTAAAAATGATAAGTACTAAGGGAAAAGAAAGAGAGCAAAGTCGGGGGATTGGGAGTGGGGACCTTGGGGTTTGCAGTTTAAAATAAGGTGATAGGAGTAAGTGGTAAGCAAAGACATGAAGTGAGGGATTAACTAGATGATATCAGTGTGAGGAACTTCCAACCAAGGAAAGTGAGAGTGTAAAGGCCTGAAGGCAGGAGTCAAAAAACAGTAAGGTATTACGGAGGCCAGAGTTACCAGAGTGATGGAAGGAAAGATCCGTAGGAGATGAGGTAGTATAATTCTGTGGCCCATTGTAAGGCATTTAGCTTTTACTCCAAGTGAAATGAAATATAAGGGAAGATGCAATGCCCACTCTGCATAATCAGCAGCAGTGATTTAGGTTCCCAATATCATTCTCACTCAGGGGAGACAATAGGCAGAAACCTGGTACCAGCTGTATTGAACTTTGTAGAAAAACATAAAGTACAGCATGCCACATGACAGCTTCAAATAGGTCTTTATTGGCAGTTTTTAACAAAAGTTTGGGGCTGCTTCAAAACCCCATAGTAGGTACACTCAGTTGTATGAGATGAGGCCATATGGATGGATGTGACCTATACCAGCTAGAGAGGCCTCAAATTTAGCAGGAACTGTCCTATATGGAAAAAAACTAATATGCAAATTGTCTCCTGGACTGGGAGTTCTATTGGGAGTTTGACCAGGGCAGGGGTGGCCAGCAACTGCCCGAGGCCCCTCTTCCCAGCTGGCCCTACCCTCAATTTGCTCCCCCCACCCATTGGGGGTGAATTCATGCAGCCAAACTTTCATGTTCCCTCCCCCTGGTAGGCCAGTCTGATCGGCCCCAATCGGGGTGGGCTGGCCAGATCCCACCCATGCATGAATTCATGCACTGGGTCTCTAATGTCTTCTAAAGCCCAAAGAGTGTACCTCCCACTGTAGGCACATTAGGAGAGACATCACACGTAGGAGCTGAAGCCTGTTTCTCAGCATGTCTTTACTTCTTGCTGTGTGTGCCTGCAGGGTCTCTGAGTTCACTTAAAGTCAGGTAGTTTCCAGTGAGTGGTTATTGTTACAATGTTGAACACAGCTGTCCTTATTTTTCTTAACTTGGTATCTATAAAAGGGTAATATGCTAATTAGACTGGACATCTTCTGGACGTTCTTCTTGATGAAGCCTGGGCAGGAGGGAAGTCAGCCCGGGTCCTGGGTGCCTGCAGGCGGCTGGAAGGAAGCAGCCCCGGTCCGGGCGCCGGAGGGAAGCTGGTGCCTGCAGGAGGTTGGGGGACTGGGGGGATGAGGAAGGTCTACTCTTGCATGAATTTTTGTGCATTGGGCCTCTAGTGTTTTCATAATTGATAATACCATGAGGTTATGTTCCCATGGAGAAAGAGTTCTGAGCTGCAGTCAATCCTTTCTCCTTTGGGAGTTTCTACATGGTTTTAAGGAGAAAAGCAACACTTGGTATTTTAAAAGGATTAATCTAGTTGCTATGTTGAGAATAGATTTTAGGGAGATCAGAATAAAAGAAGGGAAACTAGGGAGGCTATTAAAGTAATACAAGCAAGAGATGATGGTGGCTTGAAATTGAAATGGTAGTGAGAAGGGTTAGATGCTAAATACATTTTAAAGTAGAACCAAAAGGTTTTGCTATATATTGATAGTGTGGTTTAAAAGAAATACCTGTCAAGGATGATTCATTTGGATGGAGCAACAAGAAGCATGGAAATTCCATCCAATGAAATAGGGAGGTCTTCAAGTGCAGTGAATTTAGGGTCAGAAATTAAGAGTTCAGTTTGGACAAGTAGGACTTCCATTTGGAGACAGAGCGGCTAAGTGTCTATACATGTGGGATTTTAGAGATATTGATTATTATATAAATACAGGTTGAATTTAGAGAGATAAATTTGAAAGTCTGACACATGTTAGAAAGCAATTAGACTTGGATGAAGTCACTATAGCAGTGAATATGAATAGAGAAAAGGAACTGGAACTGAGCCTTTATAATGTGTGTGTGTGTGTATATGTGTGTGTGTGTGTGTGTGGCATCAATTTATTTGTTTTATTCTGCTTGTTTGACTTTACTGCCTCTCTGGGAAAGATATTATCACATGAAACTTAAGACTATTTTCTTTCAAATTTTGAAAAGGTTTTTTTTATTGTTATTTTTTTTCTTCTTAATGAGGCTACAGCTGATGCAAATATTATTTATTTAATACTTTGACATAAAAGTGTTTTTCAGGTTAAGTAAGAGAGTGTTATTTGATTTTTTTTCTTCCTTTTTTAGGGATGATTTGGTCAGACATTAAAAGACTCTGGTATGAAGGGTTGGAAGATTTTTTAGAAGAATCTCGTAATCAACTCAGTTTTGTCATGAATTCTCTTTATTTGGCAACCTTTGCCCTGAAAGTGGTTGCTCACAACAAGGTGACTATTAAATATGTCAATTGGAGACATAAGTGAAATTTATTTAAGAGAAACCTGAGATATTTAGCTACCTAAGTCAGAGTTCCATTTGCTCAAATCTGTATCTGATGTGTTTTCATTTTAAAGCTATCCTTGTGCAAGGGAATAGTGCACATTGCTTCATTCCTCTGCAATAGTTTAAATGATGTTAATTACCTATGAATGTTGGTTATCTATTAAATGCCAGGCACCATGGTGTAATACTTGCTTTATACTTATTTTATTCTCACAGGGACTCTATGAGACTCTTTATTTTTTTGCCCTTTTTTCAAATAAGGAAAATGAAGTTCAGAAGTATTAATAAACTTACCCAAGTCTACACAGTAAGAAACCAAGCAAGACTAGATTTAAATCCAAGTCTGTCTAGGCATTTTCTTTTTACCAAATGCTGATTCTTTATATCTGAGCTAGGTTTATGTACCACATTAACCTGTATATACTTAAAATGAAAACACAAAGTTACTTAAATTAATTAGCATTAGATATCTTTATATCTGTGGGGGGAGCAGTGGCGGCTTATCTGAATGGAATTAATTTTTTACACATTCTAGTGTTAACTGTCTTTGTTTAAAGAGTTTAGAATTCTGAGGTGTCACATAAAAGGAACTAAATGATACAATGTTTTCTGTTTATTTTTTAATGTGTGGGGTCTTTTTGTTGTTGTTCATTTTACTAGAAAAGGTGAATTGGTTATTTAACATCATTTTACTTTATTAAAAACTCTATTCTTAATTAGTAGTAGGGATATGTTAAATATGGTCAGTGACCAGAATTATGAAATTTCTAAGAAATAAAAATTAGTTATACATAGATGTACAGTTAAGTAAGGAGTTGAAGGTCACTGTTTTATTATACTGGTCTTTTTAGCTCTAGAAGTGGGATGCCCAAATCATATGTTAATCAAGCATTTTAAACATTTGAAAATGAAAAGGGATGAATGCTGTTAATAATTATGCCAGGAAAACTGGTATATAATCTGATTATTCCCCTTGGTTGGAGCATGTGGGCCACTCTATGTCTGGTAACAAAGCACTCCTTGGCATTTAGAAGGAAAAAGAACTTCTATGATTCATTCTAAAATCCTGAATTAAGGGACAAGGTTAATTTAATAGGATAGCTAATAATTTGACTTAAAATTTGTGTTGTGGAATTTAAGAAAAACTAGCAAACATTTATTCATAAAAAGTTTAATAGTAGTTTTTAAAACTTTAATTTCTTAAAACCTAACAATTTCTGAGAAAACCTTATATAGAATAGTCATATTGCCTTATATGTATATAAATATTTTATTGTTAAGCCAATGTTATTTCTATTAAAAGAAGAGAAATTTATAAAACATAAATAGTGATCTCCCACAAGGAAATGTAATTAAAACCTTTTTCAATAATTGGAATAAGTTTTTATTTTCCTAAATTGAGAGAGCTATTTACCTTTGGCTTATTCCTTAGTTTCATGACTTCGCTGATCGGAAAGATTGGGATGCATTTCATCCTACATTGGTGGCAGAAGGGCTGTTTGCATTTGCAAATGTTCTGAGTTATCTTCGGCTCTTTTTCATGTATACAACAAGCTCTATCTTGGGTCCATTACAGGTAAGTAATTAATACACACACACACACACACACATATATATACACATATATACACATATATACATATATAGACATATATACATATATACACACATTCCCACACACACACACATTATTTTTTATTGTCTAAAGTCTTACATATGTCTGCTTTTCCCCTAGTTGAACCCTTACCCCTAGCCATTCCCACCCCATCGTCCCAGGGTCTGTGTCCATTGCTTATGGTAATATGCATGCATACAAGTCCTTTGGTTGCTCTTTAATCCCTCCTCCTCTGCCGTTTGTCTCTGGATCTCTTCTTCATCAAATTACATTGTTTATTATATTCCATAAATGAATGAAATCATGTAATATTTATCTTTCTCAGACTGGCTTATTTCACTTAACATAATGTTCTCCAATTCCATTCATGCTGTTGCAAATGGTAAAAGTTTCTTCTTGTTTATAGTAGTGTAGTATCCATTGTGTAAATATACTACAGTTTTCTAATCTACTCATCTGCTGATGAGCATTTAGGCTGTTTCCAAATCTTAGCTATGGTGAATTGCACTGCTATGAATATAGGGGTGCATATATCCTTTCTGATTGGTGTTTTTTGTTTCTTGGGATATAGTACTAGAAGTGGGATTACTATGTCAAATGGTAGTTCCATATTTAACTTTTTAAATATATATTTTATTGATTTTTTACAGAGAGGAAGGGAGAAGGAGAGAGAGATGGATAGAAAGTTAGAAACATCGATCAGCTGCATACACTCTACTGGGGATGTGCCTGTACATACCCTTGACCAAAATTGAACCTGGGACCCTTCAGTCCATAGGCTGACGCTCTATACACTGAGCCAAACCAGTTAGGGCCCATTTTTAACTTTTTGAGAAAACTACATGTCTTCCACAGTGGCTGCACCAGTCTGCATTCTCATTAGCAGTGCATGAGGATTCCTTTTCTCCACATCCTTGCCAGCGCTTGTCAATTGTTGATTTGTTGATGATTAAAATTTCTTAAAGAATATTTGTTAGATCTCATTATTATTAATATCTTTCTACTTGTTCACTAGAACATTGTTTTCCTAATAATGTTAAAGCTAACCTTTGCTTTTGAAAATAACAATTTAAAAGACAGTTTGTTCATCTACTTTGCTTATGGTTGAATGATAATCCTTAGCTTTCAGGTATTTAGACTTACTAAATTGTGGTTGATTATTGCTCTCACCCCAGTCCATAGACATAGATGTCTTTTTGAATAGATTTATTTTTCAGACATTAGTGCATATAAAAATTTGCTTCTTAAAATGAATCTCACATTTAAAATTTTTATTTAAATTGGCAGCATAGATAAATACCTAAACTGCTGCCTCACACAACAATTTCAAAACTACAACTAAAAGATAAAACATCTATCACCCAGAACCACGGGAAAGCTGACTGAGTGGAAGTTCTACAACTAGAAGGAAAGAGAAAAGAACATTGAGACTTGCACAAGCACTGAAAAGCATATGCATGGTGGGAGTACCGTACTGTGTTTGGGGTCGTGAGGGTGGTGGCTAGGAGCTGAAAGGCCTCCTGATTGTGTTCATTAGATTCCATGTGTAACTTGAGATTGTGTCTTAGTTGTCTTTCTCTGACTGGTTTATTCAGCTTAGCGTAATTATTATATCTCCAGATCCATCCATGCTGCTGCAAAGAGTAAGAGCTTCTTTTTTACAGATGCATAGTATTCCATTGTGTAAATATACCATATCTGTTTTATCCACTCATCTACTGATAGACACTAGGGTTGCTACAAGATCTTGGCTATTTTCAATAACACTGCAATAAACACAGGGTGCATATATTATTTCAAATTAGTGTCTTGGGTTTTTTTGTATGAATTCCCAGAGGTGGAGTTGCTTGGTTCACCAAGGCAGTTCCATTTTTAACTTTTTGAGGTAATTCCATACTGCTTTCCATAGTGGCTGCACCAGTTGCATTCCCACAAATAGTGTGCCAGGCTTCCCTCTCTCCACATCCTTGCTAACACTTGATGTTTGTTGTTTATTCTGATAGGTGTGAGGTTATATCTCATTGTAAATTTGATTTGCATTTCTCTAATTATTAGTGAGGTTGAGTATATTTTCATGTACCTATTGGCCATCTGTTAGTCCTCTTTGGAGAAGTATCTATTCAGGTTGTTTTTGTCATTTTTTGGTGTTGAGTTCTATAAATTCCTTATAAAATTTGAACATTAATCTTTTATCAGATGTATAGGCACATATGTTCTCCCATTCAGTGGGTTTTCTTTTCTTGATAGCTTCCTTTGCTGTGCAAAAATTTTTTAGTTTGATGTAGACGCATTTGTTTATTTTTTAAAATTTAATATATCTTTATTGTTCAGATTATTACAATTGTTCCTCTTTTTCCCCCATGGCTCCCTTCCACCAGGTTCCTATCCCATCTTCTACCTTCCTCCTCCCCCCCCACACACACACACTGTTCTCATCCTTAGGTGTACACTTTCTGTTCAGTCTCTTCCTGCACCCCCTACTCCCCTTTCCCCTGGAGAATTGTCAGCCCTCTCCCTTTCTATGTCTCTGATTCTATTATATTCACCATTTAATACTGTTCATCAGATTTTTTATTCCCTTGGTTTTTAGATTCACTTGTTGATATATATGTATTTGTTGTTCATAATTTTTATCTTTATCTTTTCCTTCTTCTTCCTCTTTTTAAAGAATACCTTTCAGCATTTCATATAATTCTGGTTTGGTGGTGATGAACTCCTTCAGCTCCCTCTTATCTTCGAAGCTCTTTATCCAACCTTCAATTCTAAATAATAACTTTGCTGGGTAGAGTAATCTTGGTTGTAGGTTCTTGCTATTCATCACTTTGAATATTTCTTGCCACTCCCGTCTGGCCTGCATAGTTTCTGTTGAAAAATCAGCTGACAATTGTATGAGTGCTCCCTTTTAGGTAGGTAACTTTTTCTCTTGCTTTTAATATTCTCTCTTTGTCTTTTGCCCTTGCATTTTTATTATGATGTGTCTTGGTGTGGTCTTCTTTGGATTCTTCTTGTTTGGAGGTCTGTGTGCTTCCTGGACTTTTAAGTCTATTTCTTTCACCAAGTGGGGGGAGTTTTCTGTCACTATTTCTTCAAATAGGTTTTCAATATCTTGCTCTCTCTCTTTTTCTAGGACCCCCATTTTGATGTTGGTACACTTGAAGTTGTCCCAGAGACATCTTACACTATCTTCAAGTTTTTGAGTTCTTTTTTCTTTTTTGTAGGAGTGTTTTTTTCTTTGTATTCCAATTCTTTGACTCGATTCTTGCGATCCTCTAGTCTGCTTTTAGGTCTTTGTATAATTTTTTTTTTCAGTCAGTGTATGCTTAATTTCTAGTTGATCCTTTTTCATATCCTTGAAGTCTCATTAAATTTATCAGCCTTTTTTAGGAAATTCTTAATAAGCCTTATCACTGTGGTTTTAAACTCTATATCCAACCTTTTGATTTCCTTTATTTCCTTAATTTGTGACCTGCCTCTTTGTCTCCACATTTTAGCTGCTTCCTGTGATGTTTCTCCTTTTTCCGCGTCCCTTACGAAAAAATGACAGGTTCCTGAGGGGAGGAGCTGGGGATTAAGAAATTAGAGAAAGAAAGAGACAAGAGGCAGAAAAAGCTGGGAGCTAGGTGGGTTCCATCTCTCTGCTGGAGAGACAGTCACACTCACCACAGACAACACAGCATATTTATTGGCTTCCAAAGGGGAGTGTAAGGTTAATAGGGTGTGCCCAGATCCTATTCATCAAAATCTGGGTAAGCTCCTTATTTTTTGGTACAAGATTTAGCATATCAAGACCTGGGTGAGTCAAGGTCCTATTTGTTCCTCATTCCAAGCACATGGATTAAGAAAACAGTACTGATAACAGGATTCTGCCAGTGCCCTCGACTCAGCTGATAAGAATTAAAAGAATGTCCATGTGCCTTCTCAGCGGCTTTCTACATCTCACCCTTTTTTACTAATTAAAATAAAATTTAAACATTAATAATAGGGCTCTAAAATTAAAGACAATTGCAAACAATGCCAATGCAAAACTAAATTACATGTTATTTTCAAAACTTGAATGTCAAGAGCAAAACTCTGGCTATTAAATAATAACAACAATGCCAATGTAAAACAACAATATGATAAATCAGAACTATGGACATATTAACATTTTTAGGCACTAAATGAGTCTCTTTTGTTGCTGGTGTAGATTTACTCAGAGTCCTTGGACTTGCTGCACAAGACTGCAGAAGACTGGAAGGTAACAGATGCTAGCATGAGCAGGAACATGGTTAAAGAAGTAGCTTCCACTTCAGTCTTTAACTTCTTCAGATGACTCCATGTTGGCACCACAGTCCCTTGCATAGCTTTCAGTTTTCTTCTCCCATTTTGCTGTCATCTGGGCAACTTTCAGTCCTTTTGGGTGAAGGGACACAGGAGCTTCTCTGAGTCCATTGTGATGACGGATGTAACACTCTGGCACCCGAATTGGCTGCATTGTTCCTCACATTATTACTGAATCTGATAAAACTTTTGTGTGGTTTATACTCCTTTCTACCTAGCTGACTCAGTGGAGGCTATTGAAAAGGAGGCCTGATGCCTTTTACCTGCTGTACAATCCTCTGCATAACAATTTTAAAAAATTTAAAGTATAAAAGCATGATAGAGCCTCTCTGGAGGTGACACATAATATCTGTCTCCCCCTTTTTTGTTTTAATAAATGATTTTAAGAGTACGATTGGCTTTTTCTGCTATTGAGTGACATTTTTACCAGATTTGATTAGGTTTAAGTCCTTGGGGATTTACCCCTAAAGTTGGCACAGAGAGGTGGATAACACACTGAGGACATTGCTTCCAATAAAACATGGACATTGTCCTCTAACATTTTAAAGGCTGAAAATTAAATGAAAAGATCTTCTAAATTAGCATGCCTAATAGTAGCTGTTTCAATAATTTTTGCTTATACTTACCACAAAAGCACTATT